CCTACCTACCCCGTCTGGTCGTCGTACTCCCGTACCACCCGAACTTACAATTANATTAATATATATATGAATGAGATATTCTAACATTCACAACCCTTCATTAAGTAAGAGAAATTTTGTAAATATTACTACAAGACAATTGGTACTTTTGTTTTCTTCGTAAACGTTAAATTTATAATTCTTACTAAAAGAAAATGGCATTTTACAAATAAAGTTCCAGGGCAATAACTTTCAAAATGCTATTGTACTTTTATAGAAATTTTAAATTTTCCTATGCTTAATGGTTAAATTATCTATTAAAATAATTTTTTAATAAAAAAGTAATGATCATTTTGTTAAATACATCCATCACAACCCCTTCTATCATTAACCTTTGTATTTTGAGGGGATTGATAGAGAATCTTGCTATTCCGCACAAGAGTGTGCCAGACCGAAATCTGGCTTCAAATTCAAGAAGCCTCACTGCCGATCCCATACTTCAGGGGAGGAGGAGAGACTGAGAGACAGATATCAGGTGGGGAGAGAAAGAAACTGATAGCAACCGGAGGAGAGAGAAACTCATATCAGGCAAGGGAGAGAGAAACTTATATCAGGAGAGAGGGAGGGTCAAGTCCCATGATAATTTTTTAAGAAATACGTGCCAATTTTAATGGTGATTCTTTGAGTTGCTACACACATGGGAGGGGGAGGGTCCTATAGAACCATTATTCAATAAACAAATCGGGTATTTTTTTATTTCATACTTTTATATTTTCTTGTATTGGATGAGATGTGTTGAAGGGAAGAAGATTAGGTAAACTAAGTTGGTTAGTCATAGAGATATGGTAAAAAGTTTGACTTGGGAAAAAAGCTAAACGTTAAAAAGAGATAAATAAGGAGAATTGAAAACTTGTTACAAGATTAGAGAGAGATGTGAGGAGAGAAAGAAAATAGTTCGATGAAGAGAGAAAAGATAGGGATGGATGAAAGTATGGAATATTTTAGAGAGAGTTTTCTTTTTTTTATGGGTTCTTTTAATTATTTATTTATCTTCTTTTGAGTTGCATTTAAAGAAGACGAGTCTCTCATGGTAAAGATAAGAGACTGAAAATTGAGTATATTTGATCTTGTGACAATATCATTTTGGAGTGGATTCCTTGCAGACTTGAAGGTATATTCTCTCAACCTTTTTTTTTATTATTATTTTGATTTTACTTTCTCCTTACATTAATTGATATATGCTATTTTTTTTTTTATTATTTTGATTTTATTTTCTCTCATCATTAATTGGTATCAGAGCCAAGGATCCGTGTTGATCAAAAGAACTAGTTTTTTTATTATTATTATTTTGATTTTCTTTTCTCCCTACATTAATTGGTATCTGCTGATTTTTTTATTATTATTATTTTGATTTTATTTGCTCTCAGCATTAATTGGTATCAGAGCCAAAGATCCATGCTGATCAAAAGAACTAGTTATGAATATGAGAAACTCAAAGAAGACATGCTATAGTTTATAAGGGAATTTATAGCACAAAGTGTGGTAGATCTATTTCATAGCTGGCAATATAAGGAAGATGAATTAGAACATGAAGAGGTAACTATCAGTGCAAAAGATGTTGATAGTTTTGAAGAAGAATAAATGCTAGTTGCGGTACGTGAAATACTACCGTTTTAGATTGAAGGAGAATTCGAGATTCAATATGTTGACAGTTTTGAAGAACAAGAAGTGCTAGTTGCAATACGTGAAATACCACAGTTTGAGTTCAGTTTAGTATTCCAAAGTTCGGTGTCTCAAATTTCCACTAAAATAGTGTTAGACATATTTTATGGTGGGACTACATCACAACTTAACTTTTGAGAAGGCTTCTAAAAAATTTGAGTTCTATAAGCTTTAGGTCAACTTCTTCCAACCTGGGAGAACGACACAAATAAAAAATTGAGGTTTTTTTCTATTTCGTATTTTATACTTTCTTATATTGGTGAGAAGTGTTGAAGCAAAGAAGCTTTAAGTTGACTAAGATTGTTGGTTATAAAGATATGGTAAAAGAAAGTTATAAGGAGGATAAAGCCAAATGTGAACGAGAGATAAATAGGGGGAGTTGAAAAGTTGTCACTAGATTAGAGAAAGCCAATGAGGAGACAGAAAAAATAGGTAGATGAAGAGAGAGAAGATAGGGATGGAAGGAAAATAAGAAGATGAAGAGAGAGAAGATAGGGATGGAGGGAAGTACGTAGCATTTGTGAGAGATAGAGTTTCTTTTTTTTTTATGGGTTCTTTTGATCTTGTCATAATATTGGTTTAGGGTGGGTTCCCTCTTAGAACTAGAGAGAAGATATATTCTCTCTTTTATTTTTTTATTATTCTGGTTTTATTTTCTCCCGGTAACAGAGAGAGAGAGATTGATATCGACAAAGTTTTAACTGGTAAGGGAGGATTAAAATGGTAGTTTTATCTTTAACATATTAACTTTTTGACAGGGGTAAAAGCAACAAAAAATGGTAATTGAATTAAGGGTGTGATATCAAAATTATTGGGAGTTAGATGCCTACAAAGTAGGCTTCACGAGGGTATCCATAATTTTTGTTAGCAAAATTTGATGAAGCGTGTATAAGATCAAACCCGATATTAGAGAAGGGGTGTCGTGAGGCTGGTGATTGCAGAGCCCAGATTTTTTCCTTCGCCTTTTAAAGAGATGTACGCCTTTTTTAATTGTTGTACACATCCTCTCTCTAGCTTCCCATTTTATAGGGAGATAAGGGATAACCATTGTAAGGGTTACGTTCATATGGGTATGACCTTGGGTTCCCTAATTTCCAATGGGTTTTTGAAGGGTTACGTTCATATGGATATGACCTTTAGACGAGGGGTTACGATAATATGGACATTGGACCATATGACCGTTGAATATATTGAATTTTGCATAAATGTAGGCTAAGGCCTCATAGCCATACATGTCAACATCTCCCACTTGGCTATGACAGCCAAGTATAATAAGTCACATGCATACTCCCACTTTTAAGTAAGACCTTTAAGAAAATATCTTGTCATGAGGTTTTTCTTATGTTTTTGCGGATATGCCTCTCTAACAAACGTCTATTATGAGTATTTTCACGCTAATCCGGATTTCTCAATCATGAAAACTGTCTGATATAAACATTTTTTAATTCTCATTAAGCTAGTCTATCATGAAGATTTTCACGCTAATGCGGATTTCTCACTCAAGAAAACTGTCTAACTTAAACATTTTTAAGTCTCATTAAGCTAGTGTTCTTAGACAGTAGTTCAACACTTCGACCCTTTGTTAATGGATCAACGATCATATCTGATGAGGGCAAGTAATTAACAATTACTTCACATTTCTCAACTACATTCTGAATGTAGTGATATTAGACATCTATATGTCTTCCTTTGGAGCTATTTGTTCCACTTTGAATTAATTTAATTATAGTTTGATTATCACAAAATATTTAGATCGCTCCGTCAATTATTTGCAGCTTCAAGTTATCTATGAATATCTATGAATCGCTTTATCCAGACTGCAAAAGTACAAGCAGTGCTACATTAAATGTATTATGCTTGTATGTACCTAGTTATACACCTTTGTGTCTTGCTAAATCAAGAAACAACTGTCCCTCCAAAGAGGAAAATATGTCATAACCTGGACTTACTATCATCCTTATCCCCAGCAAAATTTACATTTGAATATCCTATAACTTCAAGTTTATCTGCTTGAAAATACAATTTTAGATGCTTTGCTCCCTTAATATATTTTAGAATTCTTTTTTACTGTTTTTCAATGAGCTATGCATGAATTACTTTGGTATCTACTAATAAGCCATACGGCATAACTTAAATCTGGTCTTGTACATCGTACTGTATATACCAAGCTATTAATAGCTTATACATAGGGAACGTTGGGCTTTTTTTGTCATTCTATTGGACAATCTTTCCTAGACAACTTTACTCCCTTTACAATAGGAGTAGACAATGTCTTACAATTTTCCACTTTATATCTTTCGAGACCACAGTCAAGATATCTCTCTCGGCTCAAGTACAACAATTTTTTATTTTCCATCTCTAGTTATTTTTATGCCTAGGACATAAGATGTTTCTCCTATATCCTTCATCTCAAACAGAGAAAAAAGCGATGACTTAGTCTTATCAATCATTTCTAAGTCATTTCTAGCTATTAGGATATCATCTGCATATAATGAGAGTATTGTGAATTTACTCAGTCTTCAAGACATACACACCACGGTCCAATCTATTTACTTCATATAAAATTCTTTTTGTAAATGAAATCTATTTGGTAATATGTCCATATATTTGTTTAGATGGATTCTTGGGAATGAATTCTATTCAGCAATCTATCACTTATGACAGATATGTTAATATCCATTTTGTATGAACACGTGCATGGATGGTTTGGTAGCTAGAACTTAATTTTATAAGGGTTGTATCAAACACTGGTGCTCATGTTGGGCATTGG